TATATAATTTTAAAATCATGTTTTGCATATTAAAATAGGTTGATTTTAAAGATTCTAGAAAATTCAAAAGAATAGTCTAAAATAGATTTCAAACAAATCTCAAATATAATTAAAAAAGAATTTTTTTTTACAATATGAAAAGGTTCAAGCTTTTTAATAATTTGAAAGAGATTAAAAAATAAGGGTTAGTTTGATTTGTTTTGTTTTTTTTTTAGTATAATCATTTTTGGTGTGATATTCAATAAAATGCTAATTTAATATTAAGAGTGAACAAATAATTAAGATTCTAAAAAAAAAACAAAGGCTAGGTTAAAAATAAATCATTTTATTTTATTTTGAAGGTCTTAATATATATAGATGTATATATAGTATTTAAATTTGGAGTCAAGTTTAATTATTCATTAAATATTTTTAATAATTATACTTATATTTAATAAAATAGATATTAGACATATCATTAATTAGATTAATTCAATTTATGGATATTTTAAAAAAAATAGATAATATATTTGAAATTTTATAATCAAAATTTTAAAATACTTTAGGTATTTTTAGTTATATATTAAATCAAAATGGTAGTTATTTAATATTTGGAATTATTTAAAATATATATATGATATTTTGAATTAATGTTAAGTCCAAATTAAAGCATTTAAATTTTTTAGCTGTTTGATATATTACACTAAATTTTTGGATTAGTATTTAATTTAATATAATTTATTACATTAAAAATAGCTTTAAAATCTATTTAAATAAATAGATAAAGGAGCTGACGGCGTCGGCCTAACTGAGTACACGCGGTGGCCTCTGTAGCGTCAGATTCATTCCGCGGTAACAGGGGAATGACGTGGCACGATCTTGGTCGCTGGTTCAAAATCGCGTTAACGAACGGGCATTAATGGCCAATGATTACGATGTGGCAATCATTGGAAATCATTGCCAGACGCGGCACTATGACGGCGCAATCACTTATCCGAGTCAGCAGGGTTTCACAATCGTAGGATTGCCTGCATTTTGATTCGATGTCTTGGATTAAATCCCGCAATTTGATCTCGATTAAGTGAGATCAAATGGTAGAGATCAATCTCCTTAGTTCAGAATGAACGGTCCTGATCGAACCAGATGAAGATCTCTTCAGACTGCGGGTTACACGGCTGGAACGAAATGCGGTGCGACGAGATCTCGATCATTAATCATAAGATCAATGGCCAAAGTTTTGTACACCTGGTCTAGGTCATGAAGATGCCCTAGAAATCTTTTTTTTTTTGTTCGTTCTCTCGATCGGATGGATAAAAATGCTTGAAATTTTAAGCACAACTTGAGGGCATGAACAGAAATAATGGGGGAGTATTCGATTGGCCTAAAACATATTCTATACAAAGTTAAATAAATCTAACTATTTTGAACTAGATCTAAAGTTTTTAGGAGATTATACCGTTGGATCTTCAAAGTCTTCAAACGGTTGAGCTTGTAGATTGTCCAAGTGTAGATCCCTAGTATAAATTCGAGCCCGAAAATGCTTGGATCGACCGCTACAAAGCTGGGATGAACTAGGTGGTTAGCTCACCATAGAACTTGCCGCCGATGATGTGCAACCACCTGGGTTTTGTAGTGGGAAGGTAGAGGAGGCCTTGGGGAGATAAAACGTACAGAGACTTGGATTTGGGAGGCTGGAGTGAGTGAGAGAATGTGTGATGAATAATCCTCTTCAAAATCAACTTTTGCCCTATTCAAACGACCTGGGATACTTTGGATGGTTGTGATGCATCAGAGGCCTCTCTCTGATGAAGGAAAAGTGTCCCAAGCCATTGGGTGGCAGGGAGAAAGGCTGAAAAAGGCCCTCTAACCATTGGTTAGTTTTAGGAGGTGGGGGGGGACCACTGCCATTTAAGGCTAAACATAGCTTTGGCTCAGTTTTGGGAGCTTAGGGAGAGCTTTAGGATATAATTAGGTCGACCTAAAGCAACCTAAATCAAGGGAAAGTTGTTTAGGGGCTGATTATGACCTTTTGGAGGGGTTTAAGGCATTGGTTTGTCTATGTTCACTGCTCAACGAGTCAAGGGAGGCTGAGGTGGCATGGAGTAGGTATGGGAGATAGGTTGGATGAGTTCCAAGACCAAAGCCCAAGCTTTTGAAGTCAAAGAGAGGTTTGACCAATTCAAAGAAAGGTTTCAGGGCTTTGTTTACTTGGTTTGACCAGTCAACAATGTCAAAGCTGGTGATGTGGCATTCTAGGAGGTAAAGGTTTAAGGTGGCTTGATCAAGGGTCAAGGCTTAGAGTAGGTGGGAGCAAATGCCATTAAAATTTGACCAAGAATTGAGTGTTGACTTGGTCAACTCAAGTTGGGCTGAGTTGACCAAGTGTTAAGTTACACTTGAGTCTTATCCAAGAATTGATTTGAATAGGTAATAGGGGTTGAAGAGCTCAAATGGGTCAATTTGACCCATTTAGACCCCTTAAGAGCTAATGGGTCAGCCTAGGTTGACTTGATCAACCAGGTTGACCCAAAGGTTGGAGTTGGGTCAAATGAACTTGTTTGATGATTTGGAGTCTAATGGATGTGGTCTTAAGGCTTTAAAAGTCAATTTGGGTCAAAAGGCCTATTAATGGCCCTTAATGGGGGTCAACCTAGGTTGACTTGAACAACCAGGTTGACCAAAGGGAAATCACTAGGGTCAACAAGTTTGGAATGATGTTTTGGGTGTGAGGAAGAGATTCCAAGACAAAATGATGTCATTTTGGTCAAAATGGTCATTTTGACCCTTAAGGGGCCTTAATGTCAAAATGGGTTGACTTGGTTGACCAAATTGAATGAGTGGATTTGAATTATCTATATCATCTATAACCATTTGAGAGGATTATGAATGATAGGATAGGATTAAAGTTTGATAGAAGCATAATCAAGGTTTGAACTGGATTTGGGATCAGGATAAGTTTAAAGCCTTGATAGATTTGAAGTCTAGATTTGATTTGAAAATTGAATAGATTGAAGTCTAGATTAGTTTATGATTTGAATTAATTAGAGATCTGGAATGATTTGAATTTAGATTGTTCCTAGAGTATGGAGGGATTTTAAGATCTAGAATCTAGAAGGGTTTTAGGATCTGGATAGATCTTAAAGTTTGGAATCTAGAAGGATCTTCATGTCTAAGAAAATCCTAGGGTCTGGGGTCTGGAAGAATCCTAGGGTCTTGAGTAGATATTAAGGTCTGGAGTCTAGAAGGATCCTAGGACCTAGAATAGATCTTAAGGTCTGGATCTAGGAGAATTCTAGAGTTTAGGTTTATTTGGAAGAATCCTAAAGTCTATAGTAGATCCTAGGGTCAGGATTTATTTGGAGTCTGGAAGGGTCTTAGTGACCTCATATAAAATGAGGTCAATAATAGCTCACTAGGTCAAATGAAACTTACAACTGTATTCAATTCAAGAAAAGTAAATTGATATGCATGTTATTATTAATAAAATCATAATTTATCCTAAGTTGTGATTATTCTATTCTTATACATATACCTATATCATATATGTGCATATATGGTCAATTCATCATGTTAAAATTATATGATGATGCCTATTCTAATTTTTTTTTAAGATTGCAAAGATGCATTAATGACTAAAGGAAAAAATTACAACAAGTTCAAAGAAAAGCAGCCTCATATTCCTTCTTCAAAAGACATGATAGGGAAGAAGGAATATCAGTAGAAGAAATAGAATCAAAACAGAAATTATTCTTCAATGCAAGAGTTACACATAAATCAGCAACTTTATTACCATTCCTATCAGTATGTTGAAAAATCACCTTATTGAAGTCGTGTAAGAAGTAGAGCTTCTCGGTGTCTTGACCAGCAGCGGTATTCTTCACGACAGAGTTATGTAAAAAATTGATAACATTGTAGTTATCTCCCTCCATAATCAGTCCTTTACAGTTAAGTTTCCAATCCTGAATGTAATCTTTCAGAGCATAAACCGCTTCCAATTCTAGTTGATTGATATCCCAATGTAATCTCTTCTTCCCAAATGCAAGTAGTAAATTGCCTTTAGAATCCCTTGCTGCACTGCCAATGCTTGATAAGCTAGAGTCTAGGAGTGATGCATCAATGTTAAATTTGATCCAATCTAGTGGTGGGGGATGCCAAGTAGCACCGGACTCCCTTAGGAGGTTAACATCCCAGTTAACAAGAAATTGGAACTTGTTAGTGGCAGCGAAGATCACATTTGCAGCAATCACAGAAACATGGGAAACTGGATTGCAGTGTTTTTTGTCATTTCGGCGGCTACAGGAATAATAAACTGCCGTGCAGTAAAGTCTAACAGTATCAGATCCTTTACAGAAAAGCATTTTAAGATGTTGGAAGCAATCTTCAAGAGAGCTAAATATTGGAATGTAGAATCCCCAAGCTCTCAATTTATTCAATATCTCAGTTAGAGACTTACAATGAATTAAGATATGTTCACTGGTTTCAATATCCAGACAACCATAAGCACAAAGATCATTAGTAGTTAGCCTTATGTGTTTCAAGAAGTCATTCGTTGGAATGGAAAATCTGCTCAAACGCCACCAAAAAAGTTCAACCATTGGCTTAAGCTTCAACTTACGAAGCCATATAGCAAAGCCATGATCTTCAAAGGTATTCTGAAATTTAATCACTTCTGCGTAAGCCAACGAAGTGATTGATTTGCTTGAATGTTGGTAAAGAAGCTCCATACTGTCATTGTCATCATTTTGAATGATACAATGTGTAACAATGAGGTTAACTAAGTCTGGATTGAAGTAACGGTTGAGTTCAGTATAATTCCAGTGACCGTCCGTGAGAAAATTCTGTAATGTAAGATTTTCCAAACCAATACAATCAGCAAGCAATGGCCATTTATTAAATTTTTTATCAAGAAGCCAAATATCATCCATCATGCTAATGTTAGCACCGTTGGCAATTTTCCATCTGATGATAGGCTTGAGGAATGAAACTCCATTGGAGATTATGGATCTGGCAGCGGATTGTCCCTATTTTGACTTACCATTCCAAATATCTGAAGCTTGTTCAGCAGTCAAGCATTTGAACAAAAGAGAGGAAGGATTTTGAAAAAATCTCCAGGCTAATCGGGCACGTAAATGCCCAACTCTTTTAACTGAGGAATGCATACCCAGTCCTCCACGGTTTCTCGGTATGCACAAGTCATCCCAAGCAATGTAACGTAGTCCCTTGTTATCTTTATTCTGATGCCAAATGAAGTCACGGCAGATTCGGTCCAAATCATAAAGAATTTTCTTTGGGATTAAGGAGTGAGTAGAGACAAAGGTTGGAAGCGAAAGCAATGATGATTTTTCTAGAATTATCCTACCAGCCATAGAGAGAAACCGAGCTCCCCAAGAGTTGAGTTTATCTAAAGCACGATAAATGAAAAATTGATAGTCATTCTTTGCCAGCCTTCTCAAAGCAATTTTAATTCCAAGATGGTGAAATTCCTTGACAATCTTAAAACCAGTTTTTTTACCAATCTTCCATTTCAGAGATTGGTTAGTAGAACTCCCAAAGATAATCAGTGATTTGCTCTGGTTTACACCTTGCCCAGTCCATCCGCAATATTCTTTGATTAAATTCATCATTACGCGAAGCTGAGAGACGGAGGCTTTGCCAAACAACAAAACATCATCAGCATAAAGCAAATGAGTGATTTTAGGAGCTCTATTGGACGTTTGGATGCCAATTTGAAGACCTCTTTGCTGAATTAAGCTAGATAGAAGCTGAGAGCACATAATAAAATAAGGAAGGTGACATGGGGCAGCCTTGTCTAAAGCCACACTTGGCTTAAATCCATCTTGTTCCTTTGCCATTCAGAAGAATAAAGAACCGAACTCCGGTGACACATTCAAGAATAAGGTTGGAGAAACTTCCCGGGAACCCAAACCAGCAAAGGACATTCTCCAATGTCTTCCAACACATACTGTCAAAAGCTTGGGCCATGTCAAGCTTGATCGCCATTAAGCCTTTCTTATTTTTTGAAATCCTGAATTTATTAAAAATTTCAAGAGCCAAGAGGCAGTGATCTGACATAGATCTACCCGGAACGTATGCAACTTGCTCCTCGGTGATGAGTTTAGGAATGAAGATTTTGAGTCTATTAACTATCATAGAAGTAGCAATTTTGTAGATAGTTTGACAAAAACTTATAGGACGAAAATTAGAGGGAGTTACCAGAGTATTGATCTTGGGAATAAGAACGATCAAGGTGTCTTTCCAAGCTCCATTCATGCGTCCAGTGGTGAAAAAATGATTGATAGCTCTCCTTTTAGAATCTTTAATAATATCCCAATAGAATTTGAAAAACAAAGAAGTTGAACCATCTAATCCCAGAGATTTATTTGAGCCTTGCTGGGAGACGGCATTAAAGAACTCAGTTTCAGAAAAACTTGAATTAAGGCAATCAATATCTGCAGTATCAAGTTTCTATTTGTGATCAATTTCAGGCCAGTTCTGGATATTGCAGCTTCTTGGCTTCCATTTATCTTCAAAGAACTTTAAAAAAACTGATTCAATTTTGTCCAAATCATCCACCGTGGTATTGTTCTCATCCTTAATTTGTCTGTTCAACTTGCCATTCTTCCTAGCCGTCGCATAGGTATGATAAAATCTAGAGTTAGTATCGACATCTTCATTCCATTTGGCTTTGGCGCGCTGGTTCCACCATGTAGAGAGTCTAACTAGAGTGACGTTATACTCTCTAACCTTACTGCAGAGCGTGTCAAGATCTTCAGGACTGAGACCACCCGCCTCATCTTCTTGCAATTGCAATTTGAGAATATCATTCTGCAGTTCATCTTTTAGCTGGTTCAAGCTTTTGCATTTGTTTCTATTCCAGAAAAAAGGGATTTCAAGGTTCTCTTGATTTTTATGTTAAGGATTTCTGAGTCATCACCATAATCATGCTTATTCCATGCTTTAGCAATAATGCCTTTGGTAGCAGGATAGGATCTCCATGTATCTTCAAATCTGAAGGTCTTAGGATGCGAATGCATAGTGTCTTCCAGCTTAAAAGCCACTGGACAGTAGTCTGAAGCAATACGTGGAAGGTGCTTGGCATAAGCAGATGGAACCAACTGTATGGCAGGTGAATTTAATAAACAGCGATCAAGCCGTTCCCAAATTCTAGTAATTCTGTGCTTGTTATTGCACCAAGTGTATTTAGGACCAACAATGCTTAAGTCATGAAGGTCTTGATTTACCATAAAAGATTTCATTTCTTCGGTTCCTTTAGTCATTTTAAATCGTTTGCCACCTCTTTTGTCTTCAGTAGTAAGGAGGCAGTTGAAGTCTCCTCCCACAATCGTGGGTACATCAATCATCATAACCTTGTCAAGACAATTCCAAAGATCACGTCTGACTTGAAAGTCCTTATGACCATACACCATGGCAACATGCCGTAGGCCTTTGTTTGGTGTAGTCAAAGCGCCGAAGACAACCTGTGAGGTATGCTCAATCACAGTAAAGCTAGCCAAATTGCTATCCCACATAATCATAATACCTCCTGCAGTGCCAACTGCAGGTTGGTGAAAGAAATCCCAACTGTTGCCAATGATACGACCAACATCAGTCTTATTAATCATGGAGACTTTGGTTTCAGCCAAACCAACAAAGAAAACTGAATTATCCCTAACCACTTCTCTAAGTATTAGCTTTTAATAATCATATATGCTTGCATGTTAGTGTATGTATCTTATGTGTATCATTATATCAGTCAATATATCATTAAATGTTGTTGAACCTCATGAGCCTGGCATACTCTAGGATTATAATGATTAAAAATATATTTTTTATACTAACTATTAATCATGTTGTGTGTGCATGAAACTTATTTTTAATCCAATGTTTCAGGAAGCGTGCAAGTGACCGATTCAGGATAAAGGAATTGTTGAAGCTAAAAAAGTTAAAGTGAAGAAAACTAGTTAGTGCTATAAAGATCAAGAAATAGAGTGTGTGTCCTCTTGTAATTGTATTTTTTATTTTTCCTGAGTCCTTTATATGTTAGGAATGAAGTAAGTTAAACAATCACACACACAATGGATATTATGAAATTAAATAGAGTTAATTAAATCATTTAATTTTTTGGCTTGTCCATATCGTACAATTTGCTTCACATGGAATGATATAAATTATAATATTATAAATTCCAAAAATCAAATGATATTATTTAACTTAAAATAAAAATTGAAAAATTTTTCATAACAACTTATATAGTACGAAGAAGATCACATTGGACGATCAACTATTTAATTTCAAACTATTGAAATTCTAAATTTTCTAAATATAGGAAAATTCAAATTTTGAATTTTTTGTACTAGACGAACTGATTTATACATAACAACACTTAAAGATTTGTATTATGAATTACCTATTTTGGAACCTGAAATCAATGGGGTAAATTAGAGATGATTTTATATTGTAGGATTCAATCGTGTATTTCGAACAAATAGAGAGCATGCCTAGTCAAACTCAATTTGGACATGTCAATCTTATAACCACTAGAAAATATAAAAAAATAGGAAAAACACTTTTTAGTGCATAATAATGCATAGCGCCGTAACACCACTGTCAGTGCCACAACAATTTAAGCAGAAATTGAAGTTATTGTAGACAGAGACTTCAGCACCACAATGTCCATTATTGGTGCCGCAACGATCCAGCTCATACAAAAGTTTTAAATTTTCATTTAAAAATACATTCAGAAAACCTATGTCTAGTTTGACCACATTAGAAGCATTGACCAGTCATCCGATAACAATGACCCAAGTTGCTCATGCCATAGCTCTAGTACACTGGTGCCCCACTCATAGAGTCTACATAATTGATAACACCACCACCATTGAGAACTGATATGGATGATCCACCTCTCTTGGAGTCTACAGGCCAAAAATTGCTCCTCTACTAAAAACTTTACTATTAGAAGCCTCACTACTAAATCTCTTCCTACTAGTAAGCCATCACTGCTAAGTGGATGATATATCATTCTCAATCAAATAAGCTCTCAATACCATATATATATATATATAATGGAACCAAAGGCTACATCAATCTATCTTTATGCCCTTTTAAAAATCTATAACACTTATCATGAAAAGTGTTAAGTAACTATAGAGCATATTTATCTTGGGTAGTATACTCTTCCTCGTACTATATCAATGGCTTTCTTCCTTGAACAAAACTTAGAAATATCTCCAAGTAGATGAAGGAACAAACCATGAACTTAATACATCTATAAACTTCTTTCAACTAATAAGGGAATTCAGCATCCCCTAAAACTTCTCCTTATATTAGCACAACCATCATAGCTCACCCTCTCTATCTAACAAAAATAATGTTAATATTATAAGCCAATCCTCTATTGTTTTATGCTAATTAGTGCCCTCAAATCTCAAAGGCTTCAACCTCAAAGCATATGTAAATTTATATTCACCTCATCAGACATGATAGAAGGTATCCTTCTATGGGATTTACCTATCATTTATGCTACCAGACTAGAAAACTTTGATATAGATTCAAAACTAATAACATAAATATTAATCTATATTGGAACTTCATCTATCAATCATATATGGGTCTTATTAATCCATCAAAATTTCCCACATATTATATACAGTTGAATAGAACATGCACATGAAATAAGTAGAAATACCAAAAATTATTAATAATACTTAGAACTATCTCACTTGACTACAGATCAATTCCAATATATCTATTTACAATAAGTTGTACAAAACCACCTCTTTAATACCAAAAATGGACTGTCATAATCTAACCAATTATAACCTATAGACAGAACTAGCCATATCATATTGGATGGTGATAGATCGAACCCCAATATCTAGTTTCAGATTCAAATTTATTTTAAATATTAATAGACAACAAAGTTACTAATTAACTTCTAAGGAACAAAAAATAAAGTCATAAATAATTTTTTCCCTTTTATGTGCATCTTTAAATATGAAGTTACAACAAAATCTATAAACTATAGTATATTAATACATGTTAGAATAAAACGAATATGAGAAAATCCATAACTACACAAAAAAATAAAAATAAAAGACTAGAAAAATCCTATACATACTCAAAAGATAGAAACATATAATCCAAGCTACTAAACTGGCTCCTTACCTTTTCCCTAACTTGAAATAGAATATAAAATATGTGTGATGCAACACATCTCAGCATGTCACAACCACTAATCTAAATTTTTAATAATAAATCCAATCTGCATTTATTATTCAAGAGAAGTTAACAATAGACAATTGTATTGATCAAAATAATGTTAGTAGATGACATAAATTAAACCTACTTTACATTAAAAATAAATAAATAAATAAGTACATCATATATTAGAGTAGAAAGTAACAAAGTATCAATCACGCTCTTATATTTCCCGTTAGAAATAGATACCATAGTTTAGACCCTTAAGTATCTTTGTGCTAACATATCAAAAAATTAGCCTTGATGACTGTCCAATGCTTAGCACATTAGACATTTAAAAGTCCAGGCTCTTATAGCTCCTACTGTATTTAACACAAGAAAACTTTCTCCAACATCTAAAACCCTCAAAATCACCTATTTTAAGTAGATAAGCATATGTATAATGCATTTCAATGAAATAAATCTAAATAGCCATCTTGCAAAAATTTACATAATACTTAATTAATAACTGACAAATTTAGAAATTGAGCTTAATTTCATAAGTTTCATAATTTTATCAAATTACCAAGTATTGTTCAGGATGCTATTTTGAAGTTCTAGTTGTACTACATCATTTTCTTTAGAGGTCAATTTTTTTTCTAATTTACCAAAAATAGTACACTTTTTAATTTACTCAATGAAATTTCTAAAAAAAAAATACTAAAATGTTAAGTATACTCAAGTCTACAATATATAAAAAGTTACATGAAAATTAATTAACATATGTGAAGTTATTCATATTTTTTTACAATATAACCTACCTCAACATGGATAACTTTTTGAAATGGGATGATAGCAAAAAAATAGTTCAAAGTCACTCACAATTAATTTTATCTCTAAAAATACCTTATATTTCTCTCTCTAAACTTGCCTAGGAGGGGCTTGATTTTATCCAAAATTAAAATATATTGGAATATGATATTTTTATTAAAAAAATAATATTGCACTGCAGCACTAATTATAGCAGTGCTGCAACACTCTAAATAGAGAGCATGACATCATAGTACCCAACCCAACGCCACATCGTGTAACATCCCAAGATCTAAATTTAATATAATTATAAATTTTTATTTCTCAATTAATTTTCCAAAGTCACTAAATATCTATCATTTCAAATAAATCCAATAAAACTAATTATAAATCTTATACATTAAAATATTTATATATTTATTCCTTCAAAATGTAATTTATAATAGATAAGAGATTTCAAAAATATCAATCTATCATATTTAAAGCTCGTAGCTATAAAAGAAGAGAATAAAATACATAAATAAAAATAACTGAAAATTTTGATCAGTCTCACTTCTGAGGGTCTTGATCCATTCCACGACCTGAAATAAAAAAAAACATAATGAGCTTATTAAGCCCAACAGGTTACCAAAACCATATTATTGTATTCACTGCAAGGGAAAAGAATCAAATGCATGCTCCAATTCTAATTAATATAAATCAATATGATATTAGTATGAATGATAAATAATTTATGTAACCAAATATCAATCAATAGGAAAAACTAATATGATCAGTAAAACATGAGATTTTCATTAACAACAAAAGATGTCAATCAATCTATAAAAAAATTGATAATTTTTTTTATAAATCTATAACAAGTTCTATACTCAAATAAAATCAATTATCTATTAGTTATATTCATATTGATGGTTCCATTATATGCTTATATCAATCATTATGACATATATAATTGTCTATCATTATCAATGCATTATGCATGCATAATTATAGATATCTAACAATATAGCTATCATATGTTATATCATACTATGATAATCTTAATTCTTATATCAATCCTATATACATTGTCATGTAAATATAAAATTGATACAATTATGAATAGTAAGGTAGGGCATCAAGCTTTAAAGTGGTGTTTTCATTCATCCACCCCAATTATCGCTCAGTTGGTCATCAGTCTTTAATTTAGCCCCAACTATAGACCAATTGGTCATCAATGTTTCTCTTACCACCAATATTCATTATCTTAATTCAATTAGCAGGTGACTTTTAATAATTATTTAAGAGTCATCACCCTTTACTTGTCGATATAATTTGATCAAACAGTTACAAGCTACAACTAGGATTATACCACAAATTTTTATTTTAAAGAAAGCCCATTTTCCCACCCTCCTATATAGGGTATTATATTTTAAGAGCCAACCAATATTAATTATAGGATTAACAGTTAGCCTTTCTTGACTAGATGTAAATACTATATTTTTCTTTATAATGTAAGTTTGTATCATGTATGAAATATAGTAATTCATAAAATACAAGCAAATCTATAAAATTTGTCTAATATGTATTTACTTCAGATAATCTTAGTTTTCAATTTACTTAATGATATTCAATAATATTAAATTCAAAATAC